AAATCGGAAATCTGACAAGGCAAAACTTCGAGATAAAGCTAGCGGTAGCGCTTCGACAGTGCCAGTGCCGTATACTCACAAGTCATCACCCGACTTTTATATACTTGGCGTCGCGCCGCTACCGCAGCGCTTGATTTTATATTTGTCATTTATAAAGTTTGCAAAGCATCTCGATGCATCTCGATCCTAAATCAGGTATGTCCCAAACTTAAAAAGAATAGATGCTATAACTCTGTTCAGTGGCTGAACAAAGTGCTACAATCATTCGTCTATCTTTTTTGTTTTCTCTCTTGACTCAACGAAATAATAGGGAGGTGGAAACGTTCAACTCGCGAGTTAAGTTTTTGACAGGTCTGTCCTAAATGTTTAGTATCATTCGCTATGTTACCTGAGACAGTTGCTGGGTGTTCTCGGCTTCTTGGCAGACAAACGTCACAAAATCCGAAAGAGTATCATGTCCGTTCTCAGGATACTTTACCACTCCAGTAGATCCAGGGTGATCTGGCTGATAATAAGCGAGTCCAGGCATGCCTTGACCGGAGCCACCGGTTAGTCCTTCATGAGGCGAATGCAATCCTGAAACACATTTAGTCTGATTATCTGATCTGATTAATGATATCAATAACGGTATCAATCACGAAACCACCCCCTTAACTTAACGGTTCTTTCCTTACCTTCGCGAAGATAAGAACATTATTTTACTTAATTTTTGTCTTTCTCTCTTTTCTTTACATTTTTTTGGGTCAAAATTGGATAAAACATTTACGTTATGCGATCTATTTACATCTTATCTTAAAATATAATATATAAGACATTCGATCACTGTTCGAATACGCGAAAAGGTATATTTCTTTCGAATTACGAACCATTAATTGAATATCCACCTATCGCCAAAAGGCAAAATTATTTCATCCAATTCATTTGATGCAAATTTTATCTAAAATTATCGCGTTTATTATTATTTTTTTATTATTTTTATTGTCATCGATGTGTAACTGAACAATTGATTATTGTACAAATTATTTGTGTTCAACCTAGCTACACTTAATGTACACTTAATGTACATTAATTTTTTATTATAATAATAAATGACATTCAATTATGCTTCAATTATGCTATACATGTTCATATCATGAAATTGAAATAAATCATATGTAAATTACACATATAAAGAGGTAGAGAGAATCGTAGAGATAGCGTTGAGCTAACAAGACTAAAATGCTAGATTAAATCTCTTTCCGTACTGTTTCTCCTTACACTGTAGCTTAGCCCAATTTCATAACTAACATACGCAAAAATATACAAGTAAATAAATACATAGATAGTTAGATAAAGATAAAAAAAGTCGTTGTTACCATGAGCTTGTTAGGGGGTGGTTTTAGTGACGCATACAGAATACCGATCAAATTCTGATACTTATGTCGTTAGTACAAATTATATTCCAAAACTGTCGTAGCTTCTTTCAGTCGCGGATTCTTCGATGAATTTTGAATAATTTCTCTGAAAAAAATTTTACAAAAATCTTTATTGATACTACTTTTAACTCTAAAATTAAAGAAAAGTTTTACTGTTAAATTCCTACAATTCTCATCAATCGATTTAACAATCAAATACTTCAAAGATTCAATCGAAGAATTTATAGTTGAAAGAAAATACGATAATACTGGAACACTGTACATAAATATATATACATATATGTATATATAAATATATATTTATTTATTTATTTATGTACAGTGACGTACATACATACACATATACATATGCATTAGATGATGCATTCCAAGCGTGAGAGACCAAATGGATGAAATGTACATTTATAAAGACACATGTATTTAATACAATGTAAGTCTAAATATATTACAATACAATAGTTACAGTTAATTAATTAATTAATTAATTAAGTTAGTTGGCTTTGTTATCGTCGCGATGATTCGTATCAAGTTCAGTATAATATTTTATGTAAAATAATATAAACAAGTAATTCTCTTGTTTAGAAAAGAAAACTACAAATATTAGATCATCAATTAGATCTCTTAATCGTGGTACAACTATCATGTGCTATTAATGCTATTAATGTTATTAATTTTGTGTATACGATAAGAGATAAGATTTTAATGCAATATTGAAATAATTCTTATATATATACACACACACACACACACACACACACATATATATATATATATATATATGTATATATGTATGTATGTATTCTATATATACGGTTAGATATAGTGTAAGTAGTATAAACTTTTTGATAGCGCAAGTTATTTATTTTGTGCACGGCGTAGATAATACGTGTATGCATAATACGTGAAAAGAAATATATACATATACGTATGTAAGTGTGTGTAGATGGACACACCAAGTGCAACAATATAGTGCAAACATCAAACAAACAACAAGATAACAACGACTAAACAACACATCAAAAACATCAACTTAACAACACATCAACATCAATACAATGATTAGAGTATATATATATATATATATATATTTATATATATTTATAGACATATTAAATAACAACACCAACATCGCAACGATAATAGTGTAGATAGTATCGTACGGAAAAGGCATAAACTTTTATCAATATATTTCACTCGAATCAAATGTTGATCAATCAAGTAAGTCAATTAATCCATCCAGCATACGACATATCCAGAGCATTGTGATAGTGAATAACATAGAAATAATATTGAGTGTGTAAAATAAAACTAAATTATATTGTGCGCACTCAGACAGCAGCCTTGATCGTAGCTCGACCGATCGATTGTTACAATTCTATTTCAATCTCAAAAACATAATTAATAAAATAAGTCGCACGTATTTCTTAAATTTCTGAATAAATGAAATTTCTATCTGAAAGGCCATCTTCGCTATTAAATATTAACGCAAAATATGTCTCTCCCAAAGATCTCTTGAACTTCGCTTTTACTTTCTTTGTACGTTTGTATTAAAATAAATAAATTAAAAACATTAATTCCAATACAATATTATTTTTCAATTTTTGTATTCCTTAACAATTAATATAATATTTTTAAAAAATAATAAAAGAAATAAAAAATCTAATTATCAATTTTTTGTCATCGTTTGTTTCCACGTTATTAAATAAAGATCGCGATAAATTATATTATATTATATCATTAATCATCTAGAATAAGATCTATTTTAATTAATTTTGAATATTAAAATATTAATTAATATTGTATTAATTCTGAAAATTATAAAGTTTTTTTGATCGCCGAGCCGCGTCAAGACTGTATCGTTAAATTTATTATATGAATGGGTGAATATAACGGGGTTGTCTAAACAAAGACAAAAGAACAATTCAACAAACAGATCGCCAACAGACAGACAGACAGACAGACAGACAGCAACAACTAGCTTGCTAGATAGACCGTACTACGCATTTAGCAAGAAAGGCCGTCCGTCTGTTTATCTACTCGTTTCCAATCACTATATCTGCCTCATTCCTACATAATACAGATGACACTTCCAAATATGTTGAAAAAAGGTTTTAGCTAAAGAATGTAAAGACGAAACAATTATTTTTATCTTTAAGAAGTAGTATATTTACTAACTCGAGTAAGGCAGCCGTTAACAGGCAGATGGATCAGACGGACAGGCTAAGAACTCTATGTGTATATATATATATATATATATATATATATATATATATGTAAAACAAATGCTATGTGTTATATACACGTATGTATATGTACATGTATGTGTACACACACACATACATATATATATATTATATACAGGGTGTCTCAGAATAGGTGTATGACCGCTCATGGGTAGATAGAATGGACTAAGCTGAATCGAAAAGTCCTCTACCATTTTGCAAAATTCGCAATATTTAACGAGGTATTAATTTTTGAATATCGCCGAATGAGCGAGTATCCGTTCGGCGAGTCCGCCAATTCTAGCGCACCACCGTCCATGAGCCGCTCGAACGCACAGCCATTTTCGCTGTAAACAATTCCCCGCTCGCCGCGTGTCTCGGCTCTCGCGCTAAGCAACTGCGCTCGATGGACGATCGCGCGCTA